AAGTGGAAGCAGGCGCATTAGAAATGAGACAACGTGAAATACTTGAAAACCTTTCCAAAGCTGATTACTATTATGTACTTAAACGTTGCATACCTTCTATCATATTCATCCGGAAGTTCTGAGATCAAGAGCAAAAGCTTCACGAACTGAACGTAACCGAGCCGTTGGAAGACATTAAGGTACGTCGAGAGGAAAATCATGCATGGAATCATAGTCATATTCAACAGAAAGGAGATGCTTGAAAATATACTAGGAGCTGATGAATTACTCGAAAACGACAAGTTGATCCCTTAATTTCCTCAAAGTGCACTAGAAAGCCTAATTTTTTTCTTTGTGTATACATACCTCATCTCGATGAACTGAATCATCGAAACAAAATACGATGAAAAACTAAAAACTTACAGACATTAAGAGCATAAATGATGTTGATGACGAAACACTTCAAAAAAGTAGAACTCTTAAGACATCACCTTGGAATCGATCAGTGTCATCTAGGTTATGAGTTGAAATGATCTAGAAAGATGAAAAAACTATTTATGAGATATTTATAGTTTGCACCAACCGATTGGGCCAGCTGGAGGAATTGTTATACTCAAGGTAGTAAAATCAAAGTCTTAAAAAATTTTTTTGTACAGAGAAACATCACCTCAAATTCATGCTTGCTGCGGCTCATTCATTTTTGAGAACTGTTTCGATAGATACATCTTGACATGAAGTTATTGTAGAATAACATCTAGCACAATTCACCAAAATCACATGTACATGGTTCATTTACAAGAACTCAATAATGAAATACAATCCGTAGTTATGGTTAAAACTATATTGATTAGACGAGTCCGTGATCAATAGTAAAAATTGTAAGATCTACATGAATCCATATCTTCTTCAGTTCGATCGATATCACTATCACGTTTTCTGAAATGGTTTGGATCTTTTAAAAAATCCATTTTTTCAGTTTTTGACTTTCGTTTCATCTCAAAAAAACTTCATTAAGTTAACTAGTCATGCAAATACAGGAAATATTAACAAAAAACAATTAAGAATTATAAAATTTGAGCTTGTGTTAGTTCAACAAAGATTTTAAAAGAACTTTCTAACTTCTGCGCTTCAAATATTAGAATGCAAGCCTTATGATTTTCGGTATTCAAAATAGCGCTTTTGCGTGCTTCAAACTTAACAGCTTCAAAAACTAGGTTCTGATTGCAATTTCAGAAATTTGATAAACAATATAAATTTTCTTATGATTAGTTTTGATTTCAAAGTTAATTAGAATATTTACAGTTCCTGAATTCGGAAGTCACGATTCTGAATATTTTTATCGCCAGTTCGACGTGAGCGTTCGGTAGCAGCTTCAACCGCATCCATCAGTATACCCTTAAAGCAGCAAAATTTTCTCGTTCCGGTAGAGAACGGATACAATTCTGAGCCATGCAGGCTAATATTGCAAACAACTAACTTTTAATCCACCATTTTCCAACTTGTGCATACCATACACAGAAGATCCGCCGGGGCTTTGGACGTCATCTTTAAGTTGGGCTGGGTGTGTTCCTAACCAAAATTTTATGATCGAAACATTGCTGTTTTAGGAACCTGTCTCTAAAACCATCTTAGCAGCTCCTAGTAAAGTATAAGCAGCCAATTTCATGGCTAAATCTCTTGGAAGGCCCACCTTAACACCCCCATCCGCCAAACCTTCAATAACAGCGAACATCTGCACAAAAAAATGTCTTTTGAAATTGAAGTACACCAATAGCACTAACATAACTTGGACCGGAGCCCGACAATCCAGTTACTGGATCTATGTGAATTTCGGGAACTTCAACGGCATAGCCCACGGTGCTCAATAAATCTTTAACTAAATCTCCATCCCCATCGCTGGACAATATTTATAAGATAAGTCGACCAATTGTAATACTTACCGACATGCAGATCCCATTGCATAAGCTGAAGCTCCAGCTCTCACGACGGCAGGAGTATTTGGCATCACACGGACAACGCGAGATTTGGAAGGCAAAAGCTAAACCCTCTTTAGTCTATTTAAAATAGAAAAATTGATTTCACCGATTCAATGTTACGGATAGTTATTCCCAATGCAATAGAGACAACTAACTGTTCTCTGTTTAGTATAGGAGCGATTTCTGATGCAACCTAGGTTCATTTTATGTCAACTGGTGAATAACTCTTAGTCAGTACCTTGCTGACGTGTGGAGGTTTCACTGCCAAGAAGACAACATCGCTTTTATGAACAACTTCGGTATTGTCATGAGTAGTTTGCAATCCGAGAACCTGGAAACAATGTCATATCATAAAACACATAATATGCGTACTTTGCATTGCTCTAATAATTGAACATCTTGTTTAGGCGAGCTGGCAATGATATTCCCAGCTTCAATTCGTCCTAAACATTTCTTTACGTGAAGCTTCTCGGTGAGAACAAACCTGAATTGATGAGCCCTCGAGCTAACGCTTGAGCCATTTTACCACTACCAATAAAACCAATTTTCATGTTGAAATCTGAAAAATAGTCTATAAGGCGATAATACAAAAGAATAAAGCTGAACAATCAGTGTTGGGAACATAACAGCCTTAGTGAACAGAAAGAAGACTGGAAAGGCGACTCGGGATATCGTTATCTTCTCTTGTACCTTTCTAATTCTCTCTTTCATAAGTAAACTCTCTTGAACAATCTCTTATCAGACAGGTCAGTGCTTGTTTTTATCTTTGATACTCATCAAATTCTATGATATCTAAACATTTCGGTAGATGACCAGACCTTCTCCAATTCAATCAAATTTTTTAAATTTTAACAACAAAATTTTGAAAATGAAGATCCGAAGTTCGGTATATCCAAAACAATTTCCTCTAACTTTCTGCAATTCATGGGAAGAAAAACAAAAATGCATTTGTTTGAATACAAAAAGGAAAGTACAATCACCACACTTTATCCTCCCAGGAACCATTAAATAACTTTTGTTACTTTCGTCTTATCAAAAATTTGCTTGAAAAATCAATAATCACCCCCCCTTCATAGTTCTTTTTTGGAATGATGTTTGGCTCTCATCCAATCATAACGTGCAAATATCTTATAATCTTCTTATATTCCACTGACTTCATTAGCACAACCGGTCACGCCTGCCATCAAACCTTGTATTAACTAGAAAACAACTGACACGTGTCCAACACGTGCAAGCCACGTTTAATTTTTTTCATAAATGAGACCCTTTCGACAAATCTTGTTCATTTATTCCATATAGACAGGTCAGAGAGCGTGAAAGGAAAGTACTTGCAAAAGCGTTAGTGTTCATCAGTTGTTCCTGATTCGATGATGAATCAATACTCGGTTGTTTTTTCTATTTCGAGGAGATTATCTCATACTCCTTGTTCCTGTTATTATTTGTATCATATCTGATAACAAATAGTGATCTTACTTATTATTCTGTTCTAATCAATGAACATCCATTAACTATTCAATTGTTATTCGACCTTTACAATCTTCCTCTGGAGCTGCTATTGGGTTGTCAAGAACTAATTCGTTCATCTTTCCATATAGAACATGTGACATTTGATTTTTGTCCAAATGAATTTGTTTTTTCTTCATTTTGTAATATTTTTCGTCTTTTTTCCAAATCGATTGAAGAGGGACGTTTGAAACTTCTATTTGAGAAAAATATGTTGCTCTGCGAAAAAGTAATGATTGTCGACAAAGAAGTAAACGAAGAGCCTTCTCTACTCCTGTATGTAGGAGACACGCCTACAACGATTTATCTTATTTCATAATCATCTTCCGTTCATTAAGTTCTCGTGCTAACAAGCTTGAAGTTATAAGCTATCTTACTAAGACCCTCAATGAAGCTACTGACTAGAACATCGATTGATCTTCAACGTCTAATAAACGTTTTCAGAGTACAACTTTCGATATTCTCTCTAGTTAAGGTGCTTTCACATTACATAATCCGGCTTCTGGTGGTACTCATCAGTGATCACTTACACGAGAATGTCCGGGAAGAGAAAATGAAGTACATAGTGGATCTATAATGAACTTTCCTCTCACTCCATATCGCTCTTGTGCAAGGAGAAACACTTTTTTCGTTCTCCAGAATAATTAATTTCATTTCAGCTAGTAATCATTCAGTATAAGGTAAAGTGTTCTCTGTTTTATTCATTCATATATGCATATAATCAGCCTGATGTTATACTTTTCCTTCTCATATGTTCGTCTTGCTCTCTTCCCATCGCATTCTATCTCCTGGGTTGTTTCAAAATATTTCTCCGTCCATCTCTCTCTTTTCAGCATTTTCTTTACTTTCTATTTCTCTTATTTCTTTTTAAATGCGTTGTATCGCTCTCTCAGATGATTTAGACTCTCTGTTCTTTATACTCTCTCTTTATTTCACTAACTCGGTCTCGCTTTCTCTCTCTGTCTTTTCATGCAACTTTCTTCAATCATCCTGTTTCTCTTTGCTCTCTCTTCTAATCTTGACATCCTCTCTCTCCTCCCTCTCTCCCTCATCTCTCGTTCAATCCATTGCCGTTAATCTTCTATTCCATCTTTCTCTATACCGGGAATACCTTTTGAGCAAATACTGACCAGCTACTATTCGACATTCGCCCCAATGCGATCTTTGCAATACAGCAGATTTCTAATTAAAGGCTAGCGCTTAACAGCTCTCAAAGTTTCGAGAAGCTCTCTTGTTCTTCATACTACACCTCTCGCCTCGTCTCCGTTCTGTTAATTTTGAATGTTTTTATTCAATTTTTCTTCTGCCATCTAAATATCACAGCTATTCTCTTTTTCTTTCTCGTTCGGCTCATGTCATTCCTCTTTCTTCATCGTCATTTCTTTTTTCATTTTACTTATTCTTTCTCAATGAAATTACGTTGTGTTTCCCATGTGATCTCTGATCTAAGAGTATGTCCATCTCCAGCTATTACTAAATGAGAGTGTAATATGCGTTTTCCATCACCTTATTTGTATTCTATGGAAGATGTTTCAATAGTTTATATAGTTATCATTGTTACTACCATCAAAATTATTCTTTTCCGGTTCCTATGTTTGTTGATTTTATTGTTCAACTTTTGTTTTCCATATTTTGATTAGCTTCTTTTGCTTTTCTGTATTCGCAGTTCATATCGATTACATTTTTGTTATTTCAGTGGAAAGGCAGCTTCACATCGATGATAAGTTCGTTTGAAGCAAGTCATGATGAGCATAATTTGAACTTACTAGTTTCTAATAATAGCTGTAAACCGAAGAAAGATGTTCGTCAATTCGTTCCAGGTTCGTCTTTTCATCCAGCCCCGTAGGACGCTCCTCAGTTTAGCATATCTCATGTTCATCGAGCTGTGTTTTTCATTTTAAGCTCGTAGTTCATAGTGATCGGTTGTACTTCTTCTCTTTCCCACTAAGTTAAATGATTTTACAATTTTAGGAGAGTTATGCGTAGTATGTGGAGATGCAGCATCAGGTATACATTATGCTGTTGCGGCTTGTAATGGGTGCAAGACTTTCTTCCGAAGAGTAGTATTAGAGGTTGTGCTTGATGGTTGTATTCCACACGTCATATATTCATATTCCAGAATAGAACATATTCGTGTAAATTCGATGGAAAATGTGTTATTGATAAGAACATGCGTTGTTCTTGTAGACATTGTCGTTTCAAAAAATGTATTCAACTAGGAATGGATAGAGATGGTACGTTTAAACATGATTGTTCCTCATTCCTCCAATTCTTCAGAGTTAAATATCGAAAGACGACGTAAGCGTAAGGCGAATAAACGACAAGCTTCTAATGAGGAAGACAGTGAGCATTACGTAGATGATCCCTTGATTGCTCTGCTTATGGATAAAGAACGCAGGTTATTTATTGCTTTTTTCATAATTCCACTGTATAGCTTTTCAGATACCAAGCTTTAATCAAGTCTTCTTCTATGCCGATTCATAGCAGCTTAACTGATTCTTTAACCATGAGTGAGAAACTGTTCGATCACGCTTTTACGAAGGTTATTTTACTTCTTGTGTAAACTATAGAAAACCTTTTTGATTTATAGTATGAGAAGGATCCTATGCCTATGGGTTTCCCTACCAACTTCTCATATTGGCGTGCCAAAATTCTTTCAGTGCTTGTTGAATGGGCAAAATCTTTTGAGGTTTTTCTTTGATACTCATAGTTACTAATCTTACTAAACAGGTTTTTAATAAGCTAGCTCTGGAAGACCAGGAACGCCTGATTGTACATACAGCCTTTTCCAATTTAGTGCTTGCTGAAGCATTTAACACTCCGGAAAAGTATACTGATAGAATAGTTTTCCCTGACGGCTTGAGTGGGTAAGAAATCATGTTCTGCTACCTCGTCTAGTCTTCGATTTCAGTTTTCGAAACTTGACTGCGAACATTCTCAAAGAACGGAGCGGTCTCATCCCAACTGTTGTAGGAGTTATTAATCATATATTGGTCCCGATTAGACGGATGAAGTTAACGAGAGTCGAGTACGTCTTACTACAGGCTATTTTGTTTTATGATCCAGGTAGTTAAGAAAGCAAGAGGAGCGAGTTAAAGAGTTGAATTACAGAATGTCTTTCCTTATCAATAACTGCTGTGCAGTTGATTTCAGCTAAACGTCGTCGCTTATTAGAATCTCTAAGACGGTATCTTGATCTGGTTAGTTATTCATCTCAAATTCTTCACTGTTCCATTCCAGAAGTTGAAGAATTCCGATGAGACTGCGTCGCGTTTCGCTGCTATCTTACTTCGAATCAATAATATTCAGGTAACGAATAAGGAACTTCAGTAATAAAAACTATTCCATTGAAGAAAGTTGCTGCTTTCAAGAGAGAAACTCTTTCCACTATGGAAACATTCGAACTAATGCTCCCACATCCTCTCACAATGGATATCTCTCGGCGTTATCCAGACATATCATTCTTTTAATAGGTTAGTATCTTCTGGGTGTGTTTCTTTTCTCTGATACTTGTCTTCAAAATACCGATCTCCCTACGTATGTGTCTAGTTTCAAACTCATATTATTTCTCAGTCGACTTTTTTTTACATATTCTATGGATTTTACATTTATCGTTTGTTATATACTATATTAGCAGAGATGCGAAGATTTCTATGTTAGCAGTGATCGCTAGTTCGTTGTCAGTGTTCCAAATGAAGTTCTTTACTTTAACCTCAGTGATTGATTCTGTCTCGATCTTTTGTTCAGCTTTTCGATCTCTCTTTGAAAGGATGACATCAAAGTCCTATGAAAAAATGAGGAATGATGTCAATCACAATGGACACATCTATGATCCAAATATCGAATGTGTTTTAAACTTGGCAATGTATTAGCTCACCTGTTATCGGATACATTGCCTGGTACTGAGATATCTATAAAAGTAGATTGAAGTCTATCAAATGCATCTTTTGTCGGATAACTTTTAAAAAACATGATCACTCCTATCGTTTACTTCTCCCTACTCGTATCTTTGACTGTCGGACAATCCTGTTCTGGAACCAAATATAGTAAGTTACCGTTTTCAAATAGGTTCCATGTTCTACCTTTCAAGATCAAATGAATGGCTTGTGTCCCGGTGGAATGACTCGTTTTGGATCTTACTGTTGTCCCAATGATTGCTATTCCGGTATGGAACCTTAAATATTTTTCAAAAAATAAAACCCATCCTTTAGCTTCTCAGTGCACAGATCTAGGGAAGAACGGGCAGCCAGGCCAATCCGATTGTCCAAACCGTACTGCTTACTGTTCGAATTCTGCTTATAGAGTCCTCATGCAACAACAGTGCCCATCTACATGTGGCTGGTGTTGTAAGTTTAACCGAGAATGTTCGTTTTTCTTTCAAATTCTATGTTTTTACAGTATGCGAAGATAAGGTTAATCCTCAAACTGGAAGATCTGACTGTGCCAGTATGAAGTCATATTGTACTAACAGTCTCTATGCTTCATTCATGAAAACCGAGTGCCCAGTAACATGTGGATACTGCCGTTGAATACTACATATCATGTGAATAATAATAATAATAAAAATAAAATTTAAAAAATGATCGTCTTTATGTTCTAATAGAAAACCAGAGAAGGACGACTGGGGAACAACCACACAAAGGGCGCTTCTTAACTTCTCGCATATACATATAAACACTTCATTTTCTTTTGATATTGACATCGTGTTCCAAGCGAGGGAAATATAGAGAGTTCTTGCAAACTTGTTGAGAAATGTCTGAATAATTGACTGAGACATCTTCTAAGAAAGACTTGACGCTTGAAGCAGCGTCACTCATATTTCTAGGCGCTCTTACAGATTATTGAACCGTGTCAATCAGTTTCACATGATCACAATGAAGTTTATTTCCATTTTAGTTCCATACAAGAAAGTCCTTAGCCCCTTCAATGTCACACAGGTCTGATGAACGAACAGCCCATATTTCGACTAGCGCATGTTGCTATGGAAACTGATTTAGCGTCGGTGTTGTGTCGCGATCGTTTTGTGAGTCGATCTTCACATTGTCTATACTTTCCGTTATGTCTTTCAAACTATTGGAATCAGCGGTAGAATATAATGAGAATACCATAAATGGCATGGGGATCTACTTAACTAAAAAGGTTTGGCTGCTTCTATCCTATCATAAACGGTTTCTAGATTTCTATTCCAACCAACACGGATTTACTTTGTATAGAATGGAATCTCAAAACAAAGTTCATTGCTGCTGGAGGAACAAATGGAATTTTGAAGATAGTCAAGTTGAACCCATTAGATTTGAATATACAAAGTAATATTGATAAACACTGTGTAAACATATTTCCCACTCATTAAGGAGATAGTAAAGGTGCATCAAACAACATGTCAGTCAATCAAAACTTAGAGGGACACACAGGTTAGCTACCTATAGAAGAAATGAACCTATGGTTTCAGGAGCCATACTCAACCTCACTTGGAATGAAATATATCATAAACTAACATCAGCTGATTCGAATGGTTTGATAACCGTTTGGTCTCATAACAATGACAATTGGTATGAAGAAATGATCAATAATAGGTTACATGTCAGTAAGAGTTTCTAACTGGAATATAGCTTAAGGAACAAGAGTGTGGTTGTGGGTATGTCGTGGAATACCGAGGGCACTTGTATCGCTATTGCTTATCAAAATGGTATCAGAACCAGATCCAAAGAGATGAAAAGATAAACCCTTCTTCAACCAGGTCAAGTTATTGTTGGAACAAACGATGGAAATAAATCATGGAGGAAAAGCTTGGAGGCCACTCTAGTTACTGTGGAAGTTATCTTTGATACTCAAAATTGTGTTTCAAATGTTGGTTACAGTGGACACCTGATGGAACGTGTTTGCTGTTTGGAATTCAAGATGGGGAAGTTCATCTCTTTGATAACAAGGGAAACTTCATTGCAAGTGAAAGACTTTTGATATCCCTAATTACACCTCTTTAGCAAAAACTGTCTATGCCCGCTCTGGAAAACGTGGAGCTGGAAGCAGCCTTAGCAAGTTGACATTTTTTCGTAGAGTTATTAGGAACATCTTAGAGTTTTCAGAAGATTTAAGAAAAGATCAAATTGTCGCTCTGAAGTGGTGGAGACCATCTCCTATCGTAAATAAATCCGATGGTAATATTCACATAGCTCAATGTGTTACTGGTTGAAGGGAAATTATAATGAAGATTTAGAAGATGCGGATTCGAAGAAACAACGTTTCGCTAAAGCTCCATCTCTGGATGCGGCTTCCCCTGGAGAGAAGAAAGTTGACAACCGTCCTCGTTTGATGATAGCTTATGCTCATGGAGTAATCCAGTTAATGAGACACGATGCTGATCCAAGTAAGAAGACATGTCTTTCTTACCAAGCGTCTACGATTTAGAGCCTATTGTTGTTAGGTACGATAACTTGACAATAACCTCAGCTAGATGGTCACCTAATGGTTCTTTCATAGCAGTCACAGGATATCATGTAAATAAACCAAATTTGGAGAGATGTTATCTCTATATTCTATCTGCTTTCGGTGTTGTAAGTCATTCACATAGAAAGCCCTTCAGTATTAAAAATTTAAAGAAGCAAGGAAGTCTGAATATTCCGGGAACGAACCTAACTGGATGTGCTTGGGATTCTAATTGTCTACGAGTTGCTCTATCAATGGATAGCAACTTGTTCTTTGCGAACATTCGCCCACATTACAAGGTATACTTCATATATGAAAAAATTGGAAGAAATTTAATTGAAGTGGGGATATTGCGGCCAGACGGTCATATATGTCTATGAAAGAGATGATCGGAATGAGTTTCGAATTATCTTCTTCGAGACAAAGCTTGAAGAAACATATAAGAGATCCATAAAGAACTTCGAACAGGTTTGTTACTATATTTTCACTCCAAATATGAATGCTTTCCAGATTGCTTGTTATGGGGATTATTGTATAATTGTCAATAGAGCTAATGATGCTATGGGTACTGTGAGTATTCCATCTATTCTCTCTTTGTGTTTTAAGTTTTTATAGTTTTACGTCCAACTATGTAATAGCATTGGAACTCCATTGGATTATAAAGTATAGCCTAATCTACTTGCTCATAGTCTGATGTTCGAATATTCAGTATGTGGAAGTAGAGCCTTGTTATGTTGCCATGAACGAAACTGCGGCAGTCATAGCTGGATCCGAATCCTACTTCATATGGTATTTCAGCTTACCAAAGAGAACAACTCTAGGAGTAACGCCTTACAGACCTCAAGCTGAAGATATGTAAGACATAGTTATGTCTCCTTTATTTATTTTTTTTGACAGAGTTCATGGGTTGGATAGCGCGGCCATTGGTAATGAGCTTGGAATGAGGCGGAAGGTTTTTTAATGCTAACTCTGATTTTTCAAAACTTAACTGATTTTTTGAAGTTTCAACGAGGAAATGATCGTATCACGGCCTTATGTATGGGTGACTCCTTTTTCCTTCTTGTAAGTTGGAGGAAGTTATCATAAGTTATTAAATTCAAGGCTTGCGAATCTGGGGCGTTGTTCAAAATAAACTTATCAAATGGCTCGGTCATTCAGAGGTTTTCCATACCTCAAAATATCATTCAAATGCAATTGAACGCTTCCTATAAGAGAATAGCAACTTTAGGTGAAAGACGAAAATCCATTGGAAAAGAACAGATTTGTTTATTCTAGACCAGAATCATACACTTCAGTTCTTCGATCTGGATGAAACATCTGTGAACAAAGTTCTGAATATGGATAAAGCTGATATTTGGTGCTTTTTGTGGGATGCGGTTGGTCTATTCTTTTTTTGATATATTTGCAAGCGGAGGTCTTTCTAATTCAGGAAAACGAAGATACAATTGCTTATTCGGAGAAAACAAAATTAGTTATAATGAGAGGAGAGAAAACAGAGGAGCCTGTCTACAGCTCAGGGTTAGTCTGTGTTTGAGAGCTAAAATTCAAAGATCATTTTTAGATATATCTGCTTTTTCAAGGATTTAACCGTGAAAGCCGTTCTCGTTGACTACTTTCTTTTGGAGCCAACGAAACCCAGTAAGAACTATGTGATCGAAATTGAAATGAAAGTCAGAGAAATCTGTGAAATTATGGGTCAATAGGATATTTTATTTCTAGATTTTGCGAGATGCTAAAGGTTTATTGGAAAGAATGAAAATCGAAGAAGCTTCTGAGTTCATCGAACGAAATCCTCATCCAAAACTTTGGCAATTACTCGCTGAAGTAGCATTACATAGACTAGATATTTCTACTGCAGAACATGCTTATGTAGGAAGAACTTCTCCATCTATGCATAAAGAATGTTTAGGTGAAACTCAGTGATTACGGAGGTCTACAGTTCTGTAAAAGATTGACAAATGTTCAACACAACGGTCTGAAAAAAGCAGAGATAGAAGCTCACTTGGGGCAGCTAGAAGCAGCAGAGCGGACCTACATTGACAATGATAGGAGGTTTGGCTTCAATAGTTGTGGAAGGTTCAGTGTAATTATTGTATTCAGAGATTTGGCTGTGGAAATGTATCGAAAGAACAATAATTGGTTGAAAGTAATGAGCTTGTTGAATCAAGGAGGTGTTAGTGGTGTTAACGAAGATGTTCTACGACATGAAGCTTGGAACCGAATTGGTGATCATTATGCAGACCGTCAGAAATGGTAGGGGATCACTGCAACAATGTTTAAACAGTTTGTTGAAGGGATATGGCAGCCAAACATTATGAACAAGCTCGAAATCTTGATAAGCTGTTGTACTGTTATTTGAAAATGGATGATTACGTTGGCTTAGATATTCTAGCAACGAATCTACCTGATGGTCATCATCTTCTTGAGGTTTAACCGTCACTTTCTCTCATTACATCATATGGTACTTGATTAGGAGCTTGGATTTGTGTTTGGATCGGCTGGATTATGTGACCAATCCGTGAACTGTTATATCAGAAATGATAAAATTCCCAAAGCTCTAGATGTATGCATTCAGTTGAATCAATGGGATATGGTAAGGCTTGAAACTGTGGAACTTGCTCCAACCTGAAACATTCAGGCTGTTCAACTCTCTCGCACACACAAGTTGCGAGACGTTGATGCTCTACTAGGAAAGTACGCACAAGAACTTACAGGTAGTAACGAACGAACTCTGGCGGCTGTCCAGTTATACAAGAGAGCAGGAAGGTTTTTGGATGCGGCTCGTATAGTTTTTGAGGTTTGGTGTAATTCCTTTACCAGAAAAAAACATTTATTGAAAACAGATTGCTGATGATGAGAGAAAAAAAGTTGCAGAATGTTTACGCTTAAAGAAACTGTACGTGATGGGAGCGTTGTTGATAGAGGAGTATCATATACATCAAAAAAGCAAATCTGTTGAAAACAAGGGGAAGGAAGTAGCTGACGTGAGTCACTGAACGATTGAACCTCCCAGCAAGATTATTTTCAGTCAACAGCCTTGTTATCAGGTTTGTTGGAAGAAGACAGCTCGATTTCATTAGATGATAGCCGGATGATAGACAGAGCCTGGAGGGGAGCTTTAGCTTACCATTTCTTCATGTTGGCTCAAAGACAGTTATACGATGGTATTAATAGCAATGAATGGGGGTGCGAAAGCTTGACACATCTTTCAGGTAATATTGATGGAGCAGTGAAGACTTCTATGCACTTAACTGAATACGACGATATACTGGACCCAGTCGAGGTCTATTCCCTACTAGGTAATCTCGAACTCTTTCGAAAAATCCATTCTATGACTATTTACAGCTTTATCTAGTTGCGCAAACCGACAATTTTCTGTGGCTAGCAGAGCATTTATAAGATTAGAAAGTTTAGATTCCAATGAGAATAAAGAAGACTTTCAGAAACTTGCTCTGAAGATTTTTAGCCAGTAATGAGATATTATGAGGTTGAGCTAAATCGAGATTTTTTCAGAAACCCACCCACTGATTCGCGAACACAGCAAGAAAGCTGTCCCAATTGTGATCAGCTTGTTGCTGATTATGCGCAGTATTGCCCACATTGTGATACTAAGGTGAAATATCACCGCAGATTTGAAATGAATGATTTTTTTTCCAGTTTCCTATTTGTGTAGCTACTGGTCGTCCTCTGTTGGAGTATTCCTTCATCCTGTGTAATGTGTGCCACCAAAAATCTCATGAGAAGAGTATGAATGACAGTGGGTTCTGTGCTCTGTGTCACGCAACAATTGTATAATAAAATACTTTCATTTATTATAAATTTATATTAAGTCTAACATCCTTGAACGTAAGATGGATAGTTACATATTCCTTGAGACTGATCAAAGACCAGTCCGGTTCCACAACTGTACTGAGTTGATTTTTCTTGATCACATCGGAAGTAAGAAGAGGCACATCGAGATGCTGCATATTGTCCATCAACACGGCCAGCGCATGTGAACTGGAGTTGTGGAGCGGATACGTTCAATGAGGCTGCAAGTTTAGCACAGCCTTTAACGTTTGTTCTACAAAGAAAAACTAATCAGAAAGATGACTACTGAAAACTTTACGGTGTATCGCAAGATCCAGTTGCAGAGTTGTAAACGAGACCGAATGCGCACTTTCTCTTCATTACGGAGTAGGGAGTACATTGGGCAAACTCTTGTGAGCATTCTGCGAGAGCGTAATTTCCTAGGGGACGTCTAAAAACTGTCAATAACATCAAAAGGGAGTATGTTCACACACCCGACACAGGAAAACTCTGGTTGTTGAGCTTGAGCAGGAGCTGGAACAACAGGAGCAACTGGGGCGATTGGAGCAGCAGGAGCAACTGGGGCCTTCAACATTTCAATAGTGATAAACTATGTTCAAGGATACAACATACAGGTGGAGCAACAGTGCAAGCAAGAACTGAATGATCAAACTCGCATTTACCGTTAAGAGAGTTATACTTCAATTGGGATGGGCAGAGTCCAACCTGAAAAGAATTTCAGCTTCTATTCTCAAAGTTGCTCACCTTTTTCAATCCGCTTTCGCATGAAGCATAGAAAGGAGAGCACGGGGCAACTGCGTAGTACCCATCAGATTTTTGGCTACAGTCGAAGTCTCTGTGATAGAAATAAAGATGAATGCGTTCGAGAACTTTATCTTACGGCACTGCTGGTGCAAGGCTCTGTTTTGCGGGTGCTTGGATTGGAGCTTGTGCAGAAGTTTGGCGGGATCCACCACATTCAGTTACAGCAAGTGGATAATCACAGAAAGATGATTCTTGGTCGAAACGAAGATGGGCTGGACAGTTCATCTGGAAAACAATTTTTCCATTTGTAAAAGCCAAAACTGAACATACAGTCGTAGCCATTCCAGAGTTACAACTAAAATATTCTTCGGAGCAGCCTACAGCATAATATCCATCAATCTTACCAACACAGCTATGGCTATAATGCAATTCTTCAACTTAATTCACTGAGGAAAAAGTAACATTGAAGCTACTGGAGCAACAGGTTCAGCGGCTGCTGGAGATGCTGTGGGTGGAGTTCCTCCACACTCTGGTACACGCTCTTCGAAATCGCATCGCCCTTCAGTGCTCGAGAATTTCAGGGAACCAGGACATTTCAACTGAAGTATACTTATCATACATGTATTAAATGTGTGTTCTTACGATTCCAGTTCTTCCGTTTAAGCAGGAAGCATAGGTAGACTCACATCCATTTGAATAGAATCCATCAGCCTTATTCATGCATGTGAAACTTGGTCTAGAAACGTTTATGATAGAAAAGCATGTAATATTTTCGAAACTTTTGAGGCTTTGTGCGAATGGGTCTCGAAGTAGACAAAGGAGCTTGAGTTACCGGAACGGTTTGTTGAACTGGGGCTTTGCCTCCACACTCTTCGACATATTGTGGGTAATCACATTTGGACTGAGTCTGAGAGAAACGGAGAGTTTCTGGGCAAGATACCTGAAAATGAACAACATCATACAAGAGAGCCTAAAATATTAAAACCTTCAAAGCAGCTCCATTCAGGCAGGTAAAGTAGTTCTGTGAGCATCCTTGAGAGTATTGACCATCTGTTTTTCCAACGCAACTATCAGCAGTTCTAAATTTCAAGGAGCCAAGTTGAGAAAAAATTGCACACACTTACGGAACTGGAGCTGGTTTCGTGATTGGTTGATAAGGTCCTTGTTGTTGAGCTGCAGCAAGCTCTACAGGTGTGCTTGAGGTGGTTGGAACTGGGGCTGGAGTTGCTGGTGAGCCTCCACATTCAGATACGAATTCGGTGAAATCGCAACGTCCTGTAGCCTCGGAAAAACGAAGAACTGGAGGGCAACCAAGCTATACATCAGACAGTTTGGAAAGATGAAGAAAATGAGTTTACTTTTTCCATGGCTCCATTTATACATGAAAAGTATTCTGGGGAGCATCCAGCAGAGTAATACCCATCAGCTTTACCATTACAACTGAGAGCTGAAAAAGATATAACTAACTTTGCAACGACTTGTTCTATTTGTTATTCTGACTATAAGTATTTGCAATAAATTATTATTAAAGCGAATGCGCTATAGGCTGAAATATATTCTGAAGACTTCTCGTGCTCCTATTCTAAGCTGAGCTTGAAAGCTAGTAAAAAGAAGAATCTAGAGAGAAAAGAAGATAACTCGCTCTTCGGCATATTATCTAGTCGACAGAATGATTGCATAAACAACATCATGCTCAGAGTAGCACAAGATGTTAGGTATGGCAATACTATTAGAGTGGTTGCAAAGTATGGAGCAACTGCACGCGCTTTTTCAGAAGGCCAACCTCGACGCCGTCTTTCAACTAAGAATTACTTGATTAAATCAATCAACTCAATCATAATGATATCCAACTATGAGCCGAAAGTTTTGCTCACCTGGAGCTGGTCGAGTGGGCTTAACCTTTGCTGGAGGAGTTGCTCCGACAGGAGAATCGTACGCATTGGGAGCAGAAGCAGAGTATCCAGGTGCAGCAACAACAGGTTGTGACTCAGCGATTGGAGCCGCGGTCATAGGAGCAGCAGTGGAAACGCTATAAAGAAACATTGATCAAAGTTGTTTTTTATGATGACCTTCCGCCACAGCTTGGAATATTCTCTTTGTAATCACACATTCCGTTAACGTCGTTGTAGAAAAGTCCCGATTGGCATTCACGCTCATGAGTATTCTCTTCAAAGAAATATTGGGCTTTGAAGCATTGAAAATCGAACCGTTGTGGCATTGGATGAAGATATCGGTGCAAGTAGGGAGAGCATAAAGACCGTCCTTCTTTCCGGCACAATTGAAAATCTTGAATGATGGTTGGTTTATATATGGGTTTGATCGTTTAGCACTCACAGATCTAGGTGGTTGAGTAGGTTGAGGAGCTGAAGCAGTAGTTGTTGTTTGTTCTGGTTGACTAGCAGCAGCATCGGGGTATCTGAAAACGGAATGATGAAGACTGTATTATCTTAAAATACTAATACCCATAAACAGAAGTCTTAGGTTCAGGAGCTGTTGTAGTAGTCTTTGGCTTTGCTCCACAAGCTACAACATTTTCTTTATGATCACATAACTTCTCTTCATTATCATAAAAAAGGTCGCTTGGGCATTGCATCTAAAAACGTAATGTAATTCGTAAAAGTTGATAAGCGAATTTACCTTGTGTGTCTCCCCAGAAGAGCAATGGTAGAAGATTGACTTGCATCCGTCTCCGTGGAAACCATTTGTAAGAGTCTTACAGAACTCATCGATTTCCTCCACAGGTCTTTGAGTAGTTGTAGTGGTAATTTCTATTGGAGATTCCGCTGGTAACTTCTTAGATCCACAACCAGGAACCTAAAAAGGTAATTTTATCAGGTTCAGATGTTCGCAGACAACATTATCAAGGTAGTCGCATTGCCCTGTGTATGTATTGAAAATAAGATCTCCAGGACACCTAAAACAAATATGTTGAGATGCTAATAAAAACTGTCTAGATCACTTTTGAGATGTTCCTACTCCTTGCCAGCATTCGACGTAGTCAGCTGAGCAAAGTTCGAGAGCTGTTGGTCCATCCGCAAGATTAGTACAAGAAATTCCTACGAGAGTAGGTTTCTGGACGGCAGCTGATTGCTTTTGAATAGCGTAAGGCTCAGGGGCTTTAGTAGTTGTGGTGGTAGTAGTAGTTGTTGAAGTGATATATGAAGACTCAGTAGTTGTTGGTGAGATCTTCTTGATTGGGTTAGCATTATGTGGAGGTGGAGGAGCATACGAGTTGGTTGAATCCAATCCCTGGTCAATGACTGGGGCAGCAGTTGCAGTCGAAGGACTGAAGGCCTTTTTTTCAACAAAAAAAAACTAGTTTTCTTACGTCAAACAGTTCTCAAGATAATCACAGTTTCCGCTCTCCTTGTTATAGACAAGACCCTGAACACAACTCATACGATGAGGCTGACCAGAAACACACTGAAGGAATATATATTTAAGTTCATTATGTTCAAAAACTAATCTACTTGAATGTATTTTTGTGTGCACTTCTTCTCTTCATAAAGGCCATCTTCTAAAGAAGAACAGTCAAAAGTGATTTTTTCTTCCTTCTTTGGTTGTTCCTTGACAGACCCATGATCATAAAGACTTGGTGCTGCAGCAACAGGTCTTTCATTTCTTAATGTTCGTGAATAACAACACGAGTAAAAGATGAGTACAAGTACTTGCAAGCTTCTGGATAATCACAAGCGTTGATTCTAGTGTCATATACGAGACCAGGTTGACAATCGAGTTTTCTGGCTAATCCTCCATTGCAATGGTAGAATACGTTAGTGCAAGGCTCTTTGACGTAGAAGTTATCTTCCTGCAAAATGCATATGGGAGAAAGTATATTATACGTCTTTCGGTTTGGTTCTTAGAAAAAAAATAACAGTGTGAGGGTGACAGGGAAGTGTTGAGGTAAGCAGTTGTTTTTTTGAGACGTATTAAATGGAATACCTTTTTGGCACAATCGAATTCTACAACTACAGGATCAGCAGCAGGAAGAGGAGTGGTAACCCTTAAAGTTAGAAAATTGAAGTTGGAATTCACTTCATGCAGAGTTCTCACTCTCTAACTCCACCACAGTCTGGGATGAAAGACTTATGATCGCATCTCTTGGTTTCGGCGTCATAGAACAATCCCTGAATTTGTTTTTACATGTTTAAAACTATTTATCCTTTACATCTTGGCATTTATAACGGAACAACTTCTTGTTGGAACATTTCCAGAACTGCTCAGAGCATTTCTCTTCGCTATCTCTGTAGACACCAGTGTCTACTTTCAAGCAGTTGGGAGCTACAATAGAAAAGTAAGTAAGTTGTTTGATTCTCTCAGGTATTTCCAACCTCCTGGTGCGTTTCCTGAAGTGATCTCCATGGCAGGTAGCTTTGAAGGACTTGGAGGTGGAGCTGGGGATCCAATGTCAGCAACTGGTTTATCATGAGTACTATCGATAGAAGAATCGTCTAACTCAGCATATCCACTGAAAACCCAACAAGTTCATGAAAACATCGAAGTGAAAAACCTGATCTTCTGATTTCTCTTCTGTTGTTTCTTTTTTCCTTCGCTTACCAATGACTTCTTACAAGCTTTAACTCTTTCTACGAAATCGCAAAGGTTCAAGCTTTCATCGAAAAATTGGTTGTAAGGACATCTGAAAGATCAGAGCTGATTGGAAAAACCTAAACAAAAGAGAATCGAACGTTTGTCGGACAGGTTCTTGAGCTCCTGGACTGCATGAATAGTAATAGTTGTCACAAGGAAACTTTGGATGAACAAAGTTAACATTAGGCTCTCTATCATCACATTTCAGAAGAGGTCTGATTGAGAGAATATACGGTTCGAAAGAGCTTATTCAACTTACAAAGCCTCAAAAACGTGGTTTCTGTACTTTCTCTCATGTTTGCATTCAGGAATGTTTTCTGTATAATCACACAGACGGCGACGATAATCAAACTTCAATCCGGAAGGACATTCGTAGAGGAAAGCTCCATTCTTCAAAAAGTTTCATAAACTGGTAAGCTCTTAACACTTTGAAAACATACAGATGAGCACATAGTATAGAACTTGTTGCATCCTTTAACTAGAAAAGTTCCCACTTTACCCTCGCAATTGAGCTTTTCGGCAAGAACTACAAATAAGGACATTCAAACAGAACTAATGAAGTGCAACTCACTCTGATTAGCCGATAAGGCTAAAACGGCAAAAGCGACTAGTTTGAGCATCTTGCTGAAACGTACAAAATGAAGAAAAATAGTTCTGAGATGGTGGAAATAAGGAAAAACATATACACTATGAACGATGGTCATTATGGGATTATCCACAACAACTACCTAGTACAGACCTAATTCCAAACTTCAAGTATTTAAAACAAAACTAAAAAAAGAACAGAACAATTTGAGATCATTTTGAAAACTTGCAGGAGAAGAGTTTCTTCACAGAAGTCAGAGAAGGGGACTTTAAGATCCCAAGATGCGTGGACATTTTATATGCAATAGTATGTATAAGATTCTCAAAACATATGTTGATCATGAGAATAGTATTTTATGGAAGGAACATGAAAAATCTCAAAACTGAGAGATCAGGTGACAATTTCCCGCGAAACTTCACGAGTGAAGGTTTGTAAACGGTGAAGCATTTGCTGGAGCTTTTATATGATTTTTACTGTGACAATCAAAATCCAAGAAAATGTATCAAAAGAAAATATAAATTGAAATTCAATATTAAATTGAAGAGATAGAAGGGCTCGGTCGTGAGAGATGGTTTGCGAACCAACAAAGTTGCGAGAAAAACGCCTGAAAGCCAACTGTTTTCATTCTCATTATGATCAAGGAAATACAAAATCTCGAAGAATCCCTGTTTTTCAACGAACGCACGTATCTCTCAATTTCATCTCTCTTTTATATTCATTTTCTTTGAAGGTCAAAGGACGAAAGGAACATTTCTAAACTGAATGCTTCCAGGTTACTCAGAGATGAACTCATGTTGCTTTCTATTCCCCAAACATTCGAGAACCATCATATTTATTAATATTTCAATAACATCAAGCGGGCAAATGGGACGGTGGTATCAGCTGATTTCCATTCTTCTCCATTTGCTGTCAGAAAGGACTGTGGAGGAATCTGAAATAGGCAATGAGACTGATGCTGATGAGCAGAACTACATCATAGATGCAAACAAATCCAAGTTTCTCTAGTAGACAGAAATGAGCATAGCTTGTGACTGGGGCAATCATACCGTTCATTGACCATTCATTCTTCAATTAAATATATTTTGAAAATATTATTAAAAATCAATTTGAGATCAATTAAGCCTGTTGTGCGTGTGAGTGTGTGGGTGGCTGATGATTATCGGCATTTCCATCACATTAGGTTGAACATGTGCATTTTCAAAAACAGCTTTGTGTAAAATTAGGAGAAAAAAAGGTTCTTTCAATTTAACTTGCGATACATTGATTAACCTTTGTGAGTAGACAGATTCTTCGAAACTGCTCTTCAACAAGTGTTGAAGCTATCTGCTGTCTCCGATAGTTTGGCTCAATGAACAACGCTTCGTTAATAAATATCTTAAAACGCGAAATGAAGTGCGAAACTACATAGCTCTTGCTCTGATACAGAACTTTCAAAAGTACTTACATTTTGAGCTTCTGGTACCAAACACCATAGATGATTTTCTGCGTGGTCACGTAAGTTATCTAAAATTTATGCAAATCATTTAACTCGGCAGCGACAAAAGCATTTTAATCGTTGCGGGCGGAGAGAACGGTTGCTCATGTGTTTTTCTAATAGTTATCAATCTCTCACCTAATACGTCAGTAGTTGTTCGAGGGATCGGTCCTAATAGTTCAAGGCGATTCTTCGAGACATCTCGAAATCGATTAGTTATCAAACTAAACATTATACTGAATGATTGTGGATGAGGAAAGTATACCTGAATCCGACAGGCAGGTCGTTGTCGTAAGCCATCATAGTATATGGAAAACGAAGAGCATCCCTAACCATATAACTACACCGTTCTTCTGTATCTCTCAAAGTTCCCTTATTTCATTGCTGCATTTGAATTGAAAGGCGGAAAGGAACCTGGTAAGGTCTGTTAGATATATACATCGCCATAAGATCAGTTAGAGCTTCTTTATCCTTCTTATTGGCTAAACGATAAACGATATTTGGTTCCTTTGTTACAAGAGCGCGTGCATGAGCCTCTGAATAATAAAAACGATCAGAAGAATGAAAGCTTTAAAAAATGATACTTGAACTATTGACAGTAGTTGAAACAGCTCTGTGTATCTGTTGAGTTATCATTATCAGTTCTGTAACACCGTATACATATGATTGAAGGAATATGGAGAAGCGAGGATGAAGTTATTCTTATTATTATAAATAAACAACTAACAAAAACAACTGAAAGAAAAATGTTTTTCGGATAATAATAGATTATAAAATGAAAAACATCGGAGGTTTTGTTTTATAGTAAGCTTATAGATATACAGATGCCAATGATCCGAGTAACGGCCAATTGAATTAGCTTTCCATGCAAGTTATGTGAGAGTGTAGAGTGGGTGAAGTATATAATGTAGGACGAAGGCTGTGATGAAGTTGAAGTTGGCAATGAATGAGAGAAATTATAGTAATTAAAGCAGATCGAATAAGTAGCAGGAAGGTGTACAAAAAAGTTCAGAAAGTAGTTATCATAATTTATAAAAGAAAGGTTAGGAGTGAGAGCTAGAATGTAAGCAAAAATAGCAAAGACTGCTAGACGCATTGAAACATAGAGATTGGAAGACTTTGAAGAAGACAGGATTAGATTCATGTTGAATGGAAACGCTCACAGAGAACTAACAGAGCGAGAGATATAAAGAAGCTTTCTTCTCCACGAATGGACCTGCTGATGACGTATCAGGACAAATAGAGAGAGGAAAAATCTCTCTTTCTTTCTTTGCGCTGCCTCGCAAAGACCCAAAATAGACAATGCACTATCGTTCTTCCAGTTTATAATGACAATAATGTAAACATGTTGCATGATTTAATGATTATAAAACAGTTCTTCTCATAATAAGATATCTGAAAAGTAAATCACTTCGATGAGTATTCAAGCATTCGTTGCTTCGATTTTCGGTTTATAAGCAACCATTCTCCCATAAAATATAATCCAAATAAAAGCTGTGAAAAGAGATTCGATAATGACGGCGATCCAGACCGAGTTCGGTCCATTAAGTGAGTATAATCCACTGTAATTCCTATTGTTTTCAGAAAAATAAAAGAATATAACCTCATAGCTAATGGAGCTACAAGTCTTCCAACACTTCCAGCCATCTGATAGACTCCTTGCAATGTACCCTAAAACAGATGAATCACAAAACCTACTCATTTCTCACTTGTTTTTTCGGTCCTATGATTTCCGAGTAAAGTGTAGTTGTTGATACATTTAAAATAGAGAAGGCTATTCCGAATATTACTATATAACACCCGTAATACAACTTAAGAAAAATTTATACGCTAATGGAGTGCAAGGAAACTTCAAACCCAGGGATTCGTAGCTTTGAGAGTGTCGCACCATGTGAATCTTTCAGCATCGCATCCAAAATCAAATCCTACAAGCATCTATTATTCCCATCTCTATGATGATATCACCAGGAAGTTTCACTGGTACTGATTCCGGAAGGAACGGCCAAGAGAACGTAAAGAAAAACATAATAACAAACAAAAACTGCAGAAGTAGAGAGGTGAGTCGATGATTCATACTGTGCTTTAAGTCAGTATATTTTGATTGAGTCAATGAACTCACGATTTTCCATAGTTTGTGATAATGAAGAAGAAAAACAATGAAGCTCCTGAGAATCCAGCTATTCCGTGAACCAAGGAATTGTATTTGACACTTTCAGATTTTGAAAATCCGAACATGAGAATAGAGTAGGGAGAGTTGATACTGTAAAGAAAATTTTTTTTGTAAATCATATTGAAAACTAACGTTTCAACAGTAGTCTGAACGAATATTTGAGTGAAGCGTGTGAAAACACATGTACCAATGGCAATCATATCGGGACGTATCTTTCCTCCATTCTCCTGAAAACAAAAAAAAGCTCAAAAGAACATATATGGTTTCTTACCTCAGCCACTGCAGCATAATCAGGGATATGCTCTTCGAAGAAAAATTTCATCAAAATGAAACCTACGAGGTTCAACACCAATGAGAGAATGGCTGGTCCAGTGAACATATTCACACGAAACAGTACAAGATCGAAACCTTTTTCACCAAGTGGAGTGAAAAGAAGTTGAAAAGCTAAATAAGGTATACGATTAATGCAAATTCCCATCTGATAACCTGGGCCTATCATTGTGCCTACTGTCAATCCAGCTGAAACACATGCGATTGCTCGAAATCTGTCCGCTGTAGTTGAGGCACTCCCGACATAAGTTCGCAGCAGAGTCGCATTTCCTTGAAAAGGGAAAGAAGTGCTTGAAGAAATGGTTCAAGACGTACCTGTACCAGCTCCTGTAGCAAATCTTGCTATGATCATACCATAAATGGCTAAATGACTTGGTAAAGCATCTAGTGTCAAATAAAGGATGTTCCCAAAAATCATGCAACTGAACCCAACCATGATTGGGATCCGAACCTAGGCATTCCGGATTATTTAGAGAATTCTGAAACAACGGAACTTGTTCTATTCTGTTGCTCCAGTACCCAAATGATGGAGCAGATATACATTGAGCTAAACTATAAAACGTGATTGCCCATCCATACATAGATTCAGTTGTTTTTGGATCAAGCTTAATCAATGACATGAGTCAAAATGAGTTTTCGTTTTACTTGTAACAAGTATGGCCACATTGAACTGAAATATACTGTGAACTGTGCAGCTTGAATGAATGAACAGATTCCACAACTATAGATAGAAATCCACGGAGTAGGTTTTTCTTCTTTCTCTTCTCGAAATGAATTGGTTCGGGATGGAATGGAGTTTGATCGCGACATTGATGGTTGCACCTGGATGATGATAACAATGACGTTAGAGCCTTTTCGGATTCATACTATACCTTCATTATTCCAATGAAAACTGTCGACGGTAAGGCTGTAAGGAAAGATATCAAACATGGGAATAGGAAAACTTGGATCTCTATGAGATAATTTTTTTATTGGGTTAAAGCTGAATGAGTGAGAACACCTATACTTTAAAAGATCAATGAAATGAAAAACAGAGAGGGGAAGGACGACCTCATCATATTCGTCCAACTGCTAACTAAAATGATAAGTCTACATGAGTGTGAAATGGACAGGAATATATTAATATGAATGTGGATGGGAATACGTGGGAGAAACTCACCACAGTGTTTTCCATTTCTGTAGCTCACATTATGCCTTTGAGGACCTAACAGGAGAGTTTAAAGACTTTTATTATACAAAATAACAAATTGAACAAATGATTGATAAGAGGCAATCAACACTTCTATAACAAACCCGTTAGTATATACCGTTATACTCCATGGAGCAACATTTAAACTCTCTCAGCTCAATATTATATTGGCAGAAGAACCCTGCCTCTGGACAATCGTTTGTCTTTCTACCCAGTTTGCACGATTTTCTAGAAATAACCGTCGGACAGAATGGATCTGGAAGTTTTATTTTTTAAATATACTACAGATTCGAGCTATACCAGAAGATCTCTCCATTTTGAACGGTATCGTTTTAGCAGTGACCATGTATATGAACGATCTTGTTACTTTTGGCGTCGTCACTGATATCCTGAGAGTAATAGAATTAAAGGACTCCTGCTGTCTCCTTTACCTCGGCTTAAATGTTGTTGTGGGAGTCAAAATGCAACAAACCGATCTTCTATGTACGTCTCCATCAGCTGCAACACATTCTGCTTCGCCTAGAGGAAACTCCAAAGATTGACTTCATGTTTTATGCTTACTAGGACACAAGTTGTTCAGGCCGGGAACTGGAGTACATTCCCGAACCAATTGAGTTCCCTCGTAGAAGACTATTCTAGAACTTGCAGGACACTTGAGGTTGTTTAGCATCGCACTGTAACTGGTAATGAATTTCATGTTTTTCCCGGTATTCATCTTCAATTCTGACTTCAAATCATCCACATCTAAATATGGCTGACATGAATACAAGAAGTTCTTATCGTTCATACCTTTTTTGTGATAATCACTTTTCTCTTTTGAACTCTGTCCACCATCAATTATTTTCCCGTAAAATTCTAGAATTAGCATTTTGAATCGGAGAATCACGTCATTTCTCTCATTTGCATAAAAATACGTTAAAGACTTATGCAAATCATATTTTCATAACCGATGTTTTGAAATTTATTTTCGCCAGTGTTTAGAACTAGAGCGGTTGCATTCCAATATTCACAATAAATAGTCTGTCACCTGTTACTGCGGGCGCATGAGCAAAACGATGTTTTAAATTCTTAGAACAACAAAATCCAATGATATTCCTATTGGTGCTCTGACATGTGTAACCAATACTGCAACAAATATATAGTTCAGTAATCTCGAATAGAGAAAACCTGCAAACAGTAACTCCTACTGTACACTTAACGGGTTCACGTTTCATTTGATCTAAGAAAGGCGTACTACCCTCGGGACATTGCGCTTTAAATAGCATAGTCTTTGGCATCTAATTCTTATTTACCTGTTATCTTATTACTACAACAGAATCCCCAATAAGCTCCGGGAACGGCAGAAGAGCAATGGTATTCAAGCGGACATTCCGAAACTAAACGGAGAGGATCACATTTCATGGATCTTTTAGTTATTGGATGAATATAAGGAGACTGCCCTAGAGAACATTGACCTGTAAAACCCATCAATATGAAAATAGATAAGGTATTAACAACCATATTGAGGCGTACAGCAAAATCCTGCCTTTGTACTTCCAGTACAAACAAAATCTTGGGGACACGCGTCACCTATTGTGGAATGCTCACATTTCAGAGGCTTGAAGGAAGGTGAAGCCGCAAACGATAGAGTTGAATGTGGGCAGACATCTTTACAGTATTAAATTATTTGTTTCCTTTGCTTCCGACCAACCCTGTCTCGTCATCCCACAACAAACGTGTCTTCGGAAAAGTTGGTCGTAAACACATCTATGACCATCTGGGCAAACATTCGAACTCGCACAAATGACTGGGTTGTTTGAAGGAGATAAGAGGAGTGTCTCACCTGCATTGCAAGCTGCAATGGAATTAGGATATAAGCAAAACTCCTTACTAATCATAAAAACCTGTGCTTTGACAAAATTTCGTGCACTCCTGGACAGAATCGAATTTGTTTTGATTTCCTCCCAAGCATTCGAGATTTTTGAAAGCTTTGCACCTTAAATGTATACCTTACAACATGAGTTTTCTGATTACACTGTCATTGCTCACTTCAGTTCTGTCGTATCAAAAAAATATCTGATTTTCGGTTGATTGAAGCAATCGCCATAACCGGGATTGGGGGGAAGTGAGCATATAGATTCTGGAAAATGAACAAAAAGGCTGTTAGAGAAAGTACAATAGGTCTTAACCTCTGGTCTGGCAACAATATTTCAAAACTTTTTCGAAATGAGTCAATGTTGTTGTTGTGCACCTTTAATGGACAATTAGTTTAAGGTAAAAGAGGATCTGAGTCACTTATAACCATCTGGACAATCAGAATCTGCGTAACATAAAGATGGATTTCCTGAGGAAGTTTTTAAAGGAACTGTTAAATCTGGGCATAAGTCTAAGAAATGAAGTTGATTGAAGAAGAGGAAAAAGCAATGTACCCACCTTCACTACCATATCGTTCAGAATCTATAGAGTTAATGAAATTTAAAATGAAAAGAATGAATATCATAGTGGTAGTGAGCCAAATTAAAAATGAAGGAGTGTGAAGATATTCGATAGATAAAAGTAAAGTATATCGCCTTCATCTTTTAGGTTTTTGATAGCCAAAACAAATATCTCACGATAAGGCAGAAGGGCTTATTATACAAAGAAATCTTCTTTCCCTTTCTCGACATCTTCTTTTTCCCAACATACTGTCATAAGTATCGAGAAGGAATAAATGAGACAAGCATTTCATCTACACAAAAAAGAAAAGTTTCTGAAACACATGAATTATGCAAATTCAATATTTCTAATTAAATTTCACCAGTAGATTGGAGTTTCGGATCAACCGACTCACAGCGCAGTTTATCTGCCATTGAAACAAAAGCGAAAAAGAACTTCATCGATTTGGCTCAATACTTTCCTCATGACTTTCAACTTCGATTTATGGTAATTTTCTTCTTTTAAATCCGATTGAACCGGATCTTGAAGAAAATGAGCTTTTTGGAGCCTCAAGCCTATCATTAATCGTTTAATTAAGCTTGAATGTCTCTGATCTTATTCAAGTTTTGAAGCTTTTCCAGACATTTTAATTATTTGGATTTATATTCAATAATTCTATTTATCAAATTGTAATTTAATCTTTTTCTAATACTTATTAACGTTTCGTTTGAACTATTGACATTCATTGCAAATATCTTCTTCATTTTTGGATTTTAACCTCAAATTCCGACCTTGGGAGCAGTCGTCCGCTTTTTCCATCCTGTAAGCTCTTCTTTTTCATTCATTTTTAAATACTTTTGTAGGAGTTGAGTGAGTTACATAGCATTGTTTGCAGGAAGAGTCGTCTAGAAACGTTTCTGTTGATGTCCCGAAGGGGTAGTTACCGTGTGTCCATTCAGGACGAAGAAAATCTAGTAGTGAGTTGATTTCTAAAAACAAGTGTTCAAAATTAAAAAGAACATAATCAAAGAAAGTTATATTCGGTTCTAAATTTTGAAACATTCGTAATTCACCTACTTGCTGGTAACGTAATGCGCTAACTTGTAATCTGAGAATCTTTTTGTTTGAGAGAGAGAGAGAGAGAGAGAGAGAGGGGGAGTTGAAAGTCTGTTCTTGAAATTTCCTTTTTGAAATATATTGAAGATATTCTGCCATTTTAAGGTGACGGAAGTAGAAAATAAAGCAACCGAAGGAATTACCTCAACTGAACAACAAGCTCCTACGGTCAAATCATCTTTCCTTCGTCGTTTAAAACAAAAACATTGGCGAAGGGGACATCGTTCCAAAATTAAAAAGGAAATTGTCGTTGGTAATGTAAAACAGCCATGTGAAATGAAATTTGTTCCACAATTCATGTCCGTAATTGTCAATCGGGGTAAGTTATTGTTCATTTTAAACATAATTCACTTTATTCCAATAAATATATCCATAAAAGTCTTGTCTTCCATGGCTTCCAACCCAGCTTCATATCTTATCGTCAGCATTACCTTTCGAACCCATTCAAAGGCAAGGAGTGAACAACTTCTGACTCAGATTTCACTTTCTTTCCCTCCACAAAAAAACTCATAAAGTTTAACCAAAAGCTTCTGAATATCTTCTCAAATTTTTTACTTAAGAATCCTCCCACAAAATACATTTTGAACTTGAAAAGTCTGCTTTTACACTTCCTTCAAATGGGAAAATGCTTTAAAAATTAAAGTAAGCCATATTCAATTACCAGATTTCATCTAATCGAGCTGCTTTTACTTTTCTCATTCGAAACATTTTTAGTGACAAAACGTGTATTTTTTTCTAAAATGAAATCTTTTCGATAATTTCTTTTTCTTCTTACTTAATCATACATCCATCTAGTGTTATGAAAACAATAGCTGAAATTAAAAACCAGGGCATGGATGTCCTATTAAATATGAGTCCAAATTTCGCTAAAAGAAACCCTGATCCCGGTTATAAAATGAAAACGATGAGAAGACGAGGTGGGTTTCACTAAACGCTTTCTAAATCTAAAAAAAATCATCAAATTTTCTTTTTCTTCGTTATCCTAGTGTTATTGTTTCAGTTATGGATCGCAAGATCTCCATGGAGATTGATATGACAGGGACCTATTGCGATGATGTTCTACGACCCTTGTATCTGTACATGATGATTATTGGATTGAACCACACGTTCGTTACTGCTTACCGCTTGTTTCTTACCTTCTCCGCGTTTCTTTCAGTTTCCAACAGAAATGGAGGAGACGAATGGCTCTATATAACTATGCAGTTTTTGGAATATTGGTGAGTACTCACAAAATACTCATCGCCATTTGTTTTAAGATTTGTGCTACAATCAGAAAAATTACCCAAATCGGTTTGACTGAACATGGAATAACCATGGAGACCAAGTTAAGCTTCATAACTCTGTTCAGTCCTAGTATTGTTGTAACTACGACTAATGCCTTATTTTTGTTCAGGTGATAGGATATAATTTAAAATATAATAATAAAATCGGTTTTTAGCGGAACCTCTGCTGCTTATTTATTGTTGAAACTTCAAAAAGAACGTCAACGGGTCTACCAGGTAAGATTGACAGTTGGCTATTCTTGAATGCAACCCCTCGGTGCTCACGCAAGCGAGAAAATGAAAGCTCAGACACAGCACCACTCTGGATATGCTAATTTTGACTACCGTAATTTCAGGTGTTGGATCAAGGATTAGGAAAAAATCGAGACGAGGATCATGATAAACGACATTTTCATATGAACAAGTTTCTTGTGGCTTTGAGCTTTTGTTTCTCCATGACCATGGCCGTCACGCATATGTGTATGTTCAACAGTGACGTAGGCGTTGAAAAGGATTACTTACAGTATCCAAATGGGGAATAATCAGTCTGCCTTGGACCCCGAATATGATAAATGATAACTGGTATTGGGTACCTCTAGAAGGATATGTGGTATCAATACATTTATAACAAGCTATACCTTAGTTTGAAAGATTTTCATGTCTCAAAGTGCTATATCGATGCTGGCCATCTTATTTTTCCAATTATGTCTGATTTTACGATTAAGTATCAAGAAATTAATTGATGAGATGGTTCCCTCAGAAAAAGAAGAGTTAGAGACCAAAACGTAGACCAATTGATATGATTCAAACTTCTAGTTGTCCTCTGCCGGAACAATCGCTTCAACAGATTCATGATGTTCAAGTTCATTATCAAGAAATTTTCAATGGAAAAACACTGATTGAAGATCATTTTTCTTTTGCTCTATTGTATACTTATGCCTGCTGTATTCCTATATTATGCTCTCTCTCTTTCATCATTGTGCAAAACATGCAGGTAGAGATTTGAGAGAACTTCTCGTGATGACGAATATTTCTAGACTGACTTGGCTGAATTGGTTTCTATCTCAATTTGGATGACAAATACAATGGTCACATTACTTTTATTCAGCTTTCCAGCATTCATGATACACGAACACGTGAGTTACCTCGTTTAGCTGATACAAATGGTCAATTTGAGGGTGATAAACTACTAAGTGCTTCGTTCAAGATGTACCACGAAACTCTGTGTGAAGAACGCGACCTCCTTGTTCTGGTAGCTTTGATTGAAGCTGAACTGTAATTGAAACCTTTCTCCAGGCACAAATGAATTTCCTATCTTTCCAAATGCATTCAACTAAGCTCACCTTAACAGCTGGTCATTTCTTCTACATGAACAGGAAAATATTGCTGAGCGTAAGTCATAAAGAAGTTTCAATCTCAATCTTTGTTTTAGTTGTTGTCTGCCATTTTCACTTATTTCCTCATTCTGATGCAGTTTGAAGAGAAACACACAAGGAAATAATTCTTTTATTGATCATTCTTCATAAGAAAGAAATCGAAATGAAGAAATTGAGATCTGCACCGATGAATACCCCGTTTACTATATGTATATAAATTAATCGTAATAAACATGTTCCTTTGAACGACATGAGAACTTTCATAAGTGAGCATCTTAGAGTTGAAACTGAACAACAACTTTACATAAGAATTACCTAGGATATGTGAAAGTTGAGTGAAAAAATGATATCAAATACTGTCAAATAGAAGGCGTAATGGTTTTCATACAAAGGTGGCACTCTTATTGCAATAACTTTGTTTCATCTTCCTTCTGGTATCCAAGCAAAAGAGTGAAGAATATGTGGATAAGACAATTCTGACACGAGGGCTGGACAAAGTGTATAGAAGTGGGTTTAGGGTTGAGCAGAAGTAATTCAACCAAATGGCTATTGAGTACATATTATCGCTTACACAACTTCTGAATAAAAGAATGAACAAGCATAAATGGATGATAACGTTTACCTACAATACAGCTTAATTGGCCATAGTAGTAAAAATGGTAACCAACATAGCAAAAAACAGAATAATATCAACGCCACAGCTTTTGCAGCTCGGACCTGCAAGTGATTTGTGTCAGTAGCATTCTTTCTCCCTCTTCATTTTTCCAAAACGTGCAAATTAAAATAATATTTTTGTGAAATGTCCAATTATCCAATTATTAATTAATAACCTGCTGAGAAACACCTTCTCGTTGTAGAAGATCTGCCAAGTTGCTCGGAATTGCAATCACCGAAAATCGACGGGAGCCTGTCCTACTCAAAACCGAAAGTCGCCGGAACGAACTTCGTTGAAATGGCATTCGAGACTGAAATTGCTTTCATTTCTTAAATTTTCTTTCAACTTTCATTTCGTTCAATTACTTTTTGTTGCACAAAAAATTTGTTAATCAACTTTATGATTTGTGGTTAGAAAGCTTTTCTGTTAAAACTTTTGGAACAAAAGTAATTTTGGAAAAGCCTAAAGATCAAATATGTGTGAAAAAGGAAAGACTTACTGTTGGTACAAGCAGATTATCTCCTCGCTGATTCAAAAGCATCTGTCTAGCACGAATTGATTCTTTTCTCGTGGGATTCGAGGCTGTGCTCTTAACTCTCAAATGGTTGGAACTGTCAATCTTCAAAAGGTTAGTAGCTTATAAGAAGATATGAAGAAGAACATACATCAAACTGATCTATACGCCCAGGTAACTGTTCTGATTGACTTCTCTCACGACCACTGCTTTTTTCTTCTGTCAAAGGTGTTAATTCTACTCTCTGATAACGAGGAGACTGAGACCTGGGAGATTTCATTGACGTATAGCCTGAGAAAAAAAACTTTTCTGTTTAGTTTTAAAATGGATTCTCTTCAAACTTTACCTGATGTGACACTCGAGTCCGAGAACTTCTTTGTTGGCTCAGGAGTCCGAGTATAAGGTGTACCTTCTTTAGAGCATCTGCCTTGAAAATATTTTGGGCAATGCTGATTGTTTTTGAATTTCAAAAAAATACCCGAATTTGGTCCCAAAGGATTATTGGAATGATCTCTTAGAAATGACAGATGGCCATGCACTACAACCGAAATTCTTATAAACATTCCTACCTAAAATAAAAGAAGATAGCTTTACTAATTATTGAAAGAAAGATTAACCAATGCTATAGCTGGTAAATAGAGGGTCGGAATGGCCACTATAGGAACAAGCAATGGATGCTCATACTCTGATGTACATCCTGGCATTCCATATAAAGTCCATTTCGATGAATGGTCTGTCAGAAACTGATAATAAAGCATCCAAATTGTTACAGGAGCTATCCAAATTAATAGAATTAACCGACGAGCTAATCGGCGACTCCGTTTGAAAACTCTGAGTGGCTTCTCCTGAAATGAAAATCTCAGTTTGTTTTCTAGAATTTCGAGTGTTTTGTTCCTTCCAAAAAAACAGAAGAAAATACAATTATGATTTCTTTGATATTTTCTTTCCGCCACTTCGAGAAATTAGTTTTTCGAGGAAAGATTTCATGAGAAGTGTTTGCTGCGAACCTTCGAGAAAGGATGATGCTAGGTACTATGATAGAAGCGATAGGTAATTTCAACATAAAACTCAGAACTTAAAAAGGAAAACACAAAAGGGATTTAATAAGTCTGACTTGAGAAGTTCATGAGATTTTGAAATTGTTCTCATAGTGAGTTGACGAACTTTGTTTTCAATATTACTTGAACTTAAACAATTGAATTAGAAGGGCATAATAGAATAAATTGACCTTTCATTCATAAGAGCTCAACTAACCAAGTTCCAAACACGATCGAAGGCTATGGCACAGATTGAATTCAAACTAACAGTTGATAAAACGAAGTCTGCGATCTGCCAGCAATCACACAACCAAGTTGGTAATGAACTGGAAAACAGAAATAATTAATTAAAGCACAAAAACAGTAAAGGGTGCAGGGTTAGAGAAATGAGAGAGAAGTGTAAGTCTTCAGCGATTACTTGTGGTCCCGAGAGGAAATGTAGAACACATTGCTTCAAATTGTTTAGAATACACATTGAGAGAAAGATAGTGGGTAGGAGAAGAAAGTTCTACTTGTTTCTTTTATCTCTTCATTTACTTCAGAAACTGGCAATACTCTTGAAAGTTTCTATAGTTTCTTCAAATTTGTTAATGGGATTTGAAAGGAATGGAAACAAATTGTCTGCTATGTGATAGTAGCAGCCTTAACAGAAAGAGGTAGCAATAGAGGTGATGAGTAGAAAGAAAACTTAAAACTAGATGAAGACTTGAACAGAATGAAACAGATCGGAGTTAGTGAGTGATGATAAGTAAGAGGTTGAATGGCTCACCTGGGTGAAAATAGATTTGCTACAACTAAGACGAGAATTAAAAGTCCTATGGCTACATCGGCGCAGCTCAAACTCAGAATATAAAGGTTTGAGATAGATTTCTGCATGGGTCGATAACGTAATAGTAAAACTATTGTACATAAGTTAGCTAGAATAGTAAAAGAGGCTAAGATGGCAGCACTTGATATCATCACATAATGAGAGACAGCTGATGATAAATGTAATTTCTGAAGAGTAGTTAAGAATGTTGTCATATGCACATGTAGTTCTAACCTCCAAAATCTGAAAACTGACCTGACTTCCATTGCCATTCACTGCAGTGGCTATCAGGCGCATAACTGAAAGCAGTTTCGTATAACAAATCTAATGAGTTGAAAGCCTTCAGGAGAGGATGAGGTATACATCAAGACACAAAGTGGGAAAACTCAAATGTGTTCATATTGAAATAACAAAGAGGAACAAACAGGTGAAAACTGTTTTGAGATATTGTGAAAAAAATTCCAATAAAGTGCAATGAAAATCCATTTGCATCTCTTGATGAGAATTGTGCGGCTCAAGCGTTTCTAACATCAGAATTTGGTTGAAACCGTAGAAGGTTGACGATTTAAACAGAAAGAGAAGAAAAAGAAAACGAAGACGTCAAGAAGACTATGAGACAGATCGGAAGACGAAAGAGTGAGGGAGGAGGTGCTGCACAAGAGCATTAGCTTGCTGTTCGCAAGAGAAGATGAGTGGGTGTGGAGCTTTGAAAACGAATACGTAGACAGACACAAATAGATTGATGCAGACGACCAGTATGTAAAAAAAAGAAAAAAAATAAATAATCCGAAGTAGGATGGATAAGGTAATGCATGAAGCGAATTTAAAGTCCCCTTGATGTGTCTCATTTATTCTCTCAATCTCCAAGTCTTCAACTTCCTTTTTTTATTTCTCGCTCTAAGCTTACACACATATGCTCTTATTCGGTCAAACATTTTTATTGTTGCATCGCATTTTTCTGTTCTTTACGAAAAATAATTATGAGATTCAATTGTTATAAAGTTTTCTGAATTGAAGCTCGAGACTAGATCAACTAATGAAGCATTTACAAAGCCTGAGGGCAAGAATGACTATTCAACAAACTCATAATTGATAGATTCAATTGTAAGTGAAGAACTCGTTAACTCATAACATTCATATAAACAATTATTTTTCTTAAAATACTCCTTCCAACTTTGACGATTTTCACCTCATTTGCATATTATGTTTGCATACATTCATCGGAAGGTCACGTATGCGTTCACGTGAGCTTTTTGTTCAACTATTATTTTCATTTTGCAGAAGCAGAAAGCGGTTGGATTCGGGATTTCAACTCCTTCTTTTTTTGAAAAAAATCATAAAAACATACTAAAGAAAAACATTTTCTTTATGCAAATTATTTAATTTGAGTCATGAAAAGTTCAACAAAGTTTTTGAAACATTAAAGAGCCGAATTGGATTGCAAATGAGCCGATTTTTATGGTTCTGGAAGGAATAGGAAGTTTCTTATTTTTTCTTCTTCTCAAAATGACATTTAAAGAGGAACTTTTTTGGATTACCATGGAATAGGGAGAGAGGGAGAGAGAGAGAAAGAGGGAGAGAGGGAGGGAAGGAGAGAGGGAGGGAGAGAGAGAAAAAGAAAAAAAATGAAGAGAGGAGTGAAGGAAAAGAAACTTCAAAGAACAACCATTGTGGATGCAAAGCTGTTGCACACATGAAATAGTACGACGAAGCAAAATGGAAGAAGAACACTTTCCACAATGATTTTTATCACAGGAGAATGTCAAATGAAAGACAAAAAAGCAAATTGTGTCAGTTTGCTTCAATGAAGTCGCTGATTTCCAATGACAGAACATCAGCTAAAACTATTTCTGTCAGAAAACAGTTGGAAAGGAAAACAGAAAAATTAAAAGAAAAGAAGAAGAAGAATAAAACAAAAGTTTATGAATATTTCATTCTTCCTTAAAGGAAATGCTATACAGAAGTCTGCTTTCGTTCCGTAACATCTATTACGATACTACTTCTCATGAACTGCAGCAGAGAGAAAATCTGTTTCTCTTCTCAATGGATAGCATCTGGTTGATAAAAAAATTGAAGCGAAAGTTCCAAAATAAGGAAAAAAAGATTGGAGAGAGAAGTCTGGAACAGAACCTTTGTCGAAGAAAAAAGAGTTGGTCAGGCTTTCATGAGAATAGTAAATGACCCTATTGGCCTTAATGAAAAGCTCCTTGAGATTTGACTGAGAAGAATATATTTTATTATACATCCTTAACTATGAGATCAAACACCGCCTTTACATTTCTCTCATCGTCCAGCCAGTACGGGATTTTTGAAAAGAAAACTTTGTAAAATAAAAAAATAAGTATGAGAAAGAAGTAAAGATATGGGTAATTTAAAAAAATATTTTTTTGAAAAGAATGTGTATGTGTGTGAATGGGAATGAAGGGAAATGAATGAATGAGATGTATTTGGAAAGCTGAGATCTTCATAATCGTTCTATCAATGATCAATTTCATCAATATTGTAAAAGAGAGAAGAAGCTTCAAAAAAACAAATAAATAAATTGACCAAAGACGGAAGTTTAATGTCAATATAATAATAAATAATTAATAATATATAAAATAATTTCGTTTGAAACAACTATTGGACACGTCTGTCAGTAATATGAACTATGACTGCAAGTTCATGTGATTGTCATAAGTTCTCGAACTTGCTGATTACTATTCAGAGTAATTGTTTATTTTGTGAAATATGTCTAGAGAAGGATAAGAAATACTCTTCCTCTGAGAATGAAGAAGAGAAAAGACTGAAAATAATTATAAAAAACCGATGAAAAGCTCAGTCAGCTTTATGTCTATTTTGAGGGTGAACACGTCAATGTTCATCTGAAGAATATCTCTTTCGTTTGTTTTTTAATCAAATAACAAGAAGTTTATAAAACAAATAAATAAATACTTGAGAAATAGAATGAACGAATAAAACAATTTTGTAACTGCGGTCCTCATCTCAGAGAAGCGAACATTCTATTCATCAACGGTGCACATTGAGCTACTACTCCTTCCTTCGAGTAAAAAAGAAGTAGTTATAGAGAACTTACTAAATGCCTAATAAAAACATTTTGTCTTGTTTCTCTTGTTCGTTCTCTCTCTCTCTCTCTCTCTCTCTCTCTCTCTCTCTCTCTCTCTCTATGTTATATAACACTTATTCTCTCTCTCTCTGTCTTACCTCAAACAAAACAATAAACGAAAGCTATTGAAACAGATAAGTAGTTGAAGGGAAAAAGAAAAAGTGAGAAAAGTAAATATGGAAGGAAATCATTTTTTTTTTTTTTTACTCGATTCTCCAAAGGAGAATGAAAAAACAAAAGAAATCAATGGAATTCTAATAACAAATTGCTGATGAAATAAGAACTGCAAGTTTTTCATTCGGATAACTCTCCTTCTAATCTCTTTAAAAGCGCTTGTCCTGTAAGTTTAATGAAGCTTTATCTGAGAAGCTTCAAAGACTAAGGAATATTAAACTCCCAATGAAGATGAACAGTAGATAGTAGAAGTTTATTTTCATAAGAAAAACGTGGAAAAACGTGTAAAAAGATTGTTTCTGAACTTAGTTCTATAAGAGAAGCTAGGAAAACCAAAAAACATTGAAACAGGAGAGAAAGTTTTAAGAAAAATTGAAAAAAAAACGTTTCGAATAAGTTTTTTCCTTAATAACAGAAATGAAAAGAAATGAAAAATACGAATGTTAAATAACAAAATGAACAAATTAGGTGAATGAAAACTTCAAAAAACATCGAAAATCATTGTTTTTACCTGTCTTGAAAGGGTCAGAAACGAAAAAGAAGATGAAAAGTTTCATTCAGAGGATGAAGGGAAGCTTATCAGAAAGAGAGAGAAGGAGAAAGAAAGAGAAAGATATAGGTGGAATATAACAAATATTCATGAGAAAGTCTTGCTAATTGTCCTAGCCATAGAAACAAAAGAAGAAAGAACTACTTGTGTTTTCACTTTGTTCAAGTTAATTATCAAGAAGACTTATTTACTTCTTACTTTACGAAGAAAATGTAAGCAAGCATCTCACTGAGAATTAGTTTAAAAATAATCTTAAAATTCGCTAGCTGTAATACTATTTCCGGGGAACTATATTTATAGTGAAGAGTAGGAAAACCTCTAATAGTATAGGTGAGAGGTTTCCTTCATTTCCTATTATAGTTCGAACATCAACTCTAATGAGCTTCTGTGGAACAGAAATGAAGAAATGCTCAATGATATTTGAAGGAGAGGAAAACACGCAACCGCTCTCAATCAAAAAATGCAAATGAAATGAACCTTGTCGTCCAGGCGATAGTCACGTGTAAAAAACGTGAGAATTTAGAGAATGTGGGCGGCTTCAAGAGAATGTAAGATAAATTTCAAAAAAAAAAAAAAAGTAATAAATAGGGAAAATGTGATGTCGTGTAAATAATTGATGACATTAATGGACATTGAACGGCTGAAGATGATCAAAAGTTTTCTTTTTTTTTATTTTCATACAGAACGGTGAAAACAAATATAAGTCCTAAGAAAGAAGAATCCATACATTTGAAGATTCAGAAATCTCAAAGGATTAGTTACGGTATCAAGAGAAATACAGAAAATAGAACCGAACATTGGCATTTGTCCACAATCTTATAAGCAAAACAAGCGAAGAGTTATTACGTGTCTCATCCAACAAAAATAATAAAAAAAAGAAATTTCTGGCCGTTGCATTGATGCTTGAAAAGCATAACAAACTATATTTTCAAGAGTTTCCCCCTCCCCCTCTTCTACGATGTATTGCACTCCATGGTCGCTTTCTCCTACGTCGTCTCTAAAATCAGTGCTGATCCAAATTATTTGAAGAGCGCAAAGGACATAACTCAAGAATACAGAAATAACTGATAATGCGAATCTTTTCGCTAGAACAACATTCATGATTAAGCGCTTCTTCACAGGCATCACATTATGGTTGTTCCGTACTTAAGTGTTTCTTTCTGGGGTGTTTCATGAACGTTTACGTTTTTTTTTTAATGCCTTTCCAACAAGTTCATACAGCTGATTCAAAGAAGAGGTGATCGGTAATCCCCGAAATATGTAAGACTTAACTATACATACATACACATATAGTCTGTAAGATATGATATACCCCTTTGATTCTAAATCCGAAGATACAATATTTCATTCGATTTGCTTCATCTCCCTGCTAGTATCAGCCGTGCTCAAATTCCGTATTTGAACATTTATGAGTTTCCAAGTTTTCATTAGCATTAATACAATTGTTACAAAAAAGGCAATTCATCATTTACAGTAGCACCTTCCAAAAATAAAGCAGTTTGAAAACGACCAGGCGAGAAAAACATCTCTGTTCACGGTAGATTAGCGCTGGGGTTCATCCCACACTTAGCGAACACTAAGACTGATGTCTTAAAGTTTTCTTATGCTTCCTCATCAGAGGGAGTTTCACACTGAACAACGGCATAAGTAATAACCTCCTTACTGCTTCTCGAGAAGTTCCAAGATGATCTTGTAGAAAGAATCCAAGTGGCCATATTGTTCTCTGTTGGGCTAAAGACACTAGCACTCCCATGCGTTGAGCTTGAATAGGTGGATGATGAAAAGTATCAATCAGTATTGAATATTCAATCAGCCCATAATCACAAAACTATTTTTAATAAAATGATTGAAAGCAATGCGTGCAAGAAATCCATACTCATTATTCACGAAAGCGTTCATAGTCACCATGACAACGGGTGTAAGAGGCTCCTGGCGTCCTACCACTCAGCTGTATTGCGTTTCTCTTTTCTATAGTTTATAAAATTTTCTTTTTCAGATAAGATGTCATCAGAAACTCTTCAATTGATTGTATCTTCTCTTAGCCGAGAACCCTTCAATATGGGATTGTCTGTCATAACATTTGATTCATTACCATCTTCCAAATTACTTCAATGCTTGAGTGATGTTCTATGGTATTCAGATCTTATGACTGCATATATTCACATAGACTTTCAGTTGGATTTATCAAATCGAGAAAATCAACATAACTCAAGAAGCACCTGAAGAAACAGCAGTTAGAATTTTCAATAACTTGAGAATCCTCAGGTTCAGACCACCATCTGATCCAGAAGAATTGTTTGTTTCTAAGATTGTACTGTTTTTATCGATGTATTAAGAGATGAATGGAGAGCCGGAATTGTTGAAGGATCGAAGAAGGCAGTTTATCCTGTACTTGCCTACATTTTTTCTAACCTCGACATGTTGAAAGAGCGAGTGTATTTGTCGAAATATCTGGTAAAGGTCGAGATCCCTAGTGAGGTCCATGACATGGATACCGCGCAACTGCAGAATGAATTGGCTGATTTGATGGAGAAGTTCAAGGTTTTGCTCCAAAACTTGAATATGATTTCACTTTTCAAACTCTACAGGAAGTTCATTCAAGGGTTACTGATGTTCAACAAGATTCGATAATTCTGGATGATATACGCAGTGATTTGAAAATGATGGAATCTGAAAAAGAAGCCTTGATAAGGAAAATTGAACGAGCTGAACGAAAAGTTCAAAAATTACCAGCTCTGGAGAGGTGAGTCTCATGCAGAATATCGCTCACTTCTATTAATTTCTAGGCATTTATCTTCAGCGGAGTATTTAAGATCCCAACGTAATCGTTTGGCTGAACTGAACGTACAAAGAACGGATCAAAGAGAGTCGGTAAGAAATTTTCGCAATCAAACTCTATTTAGCAGTTTATAGGTGATACATATAGATCAGAAATTATCCAGGTTTCGAGCACACTATAACGAACTTCAAGCAGCTAGTAAAAAGATCGATCATACTATGCTCATAGCTCAGTTAGAAGTGATCAGGACTTTAAATTCTCCTTAAAACGAAGGATTTGCAGGATGAAATCGCGACAAACAATTATTTGGTTAATAATAAGCTGAAAAACGATATAGCCAATCGGAAACAAATAGTATCGGAGTTGGCAAAAGTGATTCAGTTTTCAGTTGCATTAGGACATTTCGTATTTAGATATCTGCCATGCCAGCCATTGACCAAAAAGATATCCAAGACCTCCACAATGAGGTTTTTTTTCCATATTTCAACATACGGACTTGTTTTTTTCATACAGGTTAAAGAAACTACGAACAATATCATGAATATGGAGCAAGAGCGTGATCGCTCAGAGGAGGCATTGGATGATAATCTAAGGTTTGCTATCTGATGAACTGAAACTTGCATATACTCACGATCAAGCATATTTCGTCATCAAGCTACAGCGGTTGAACGGAAGAAAGAAGCTGTTGCAGGAAAACTACAACAAACAAGGTTAGTAGCTTATTACCAACTTGCATTTCCAGCTATGGTTAGGTTTTTTCGTAAAGTAATTGACTGATATCCACGTAAAACATCATGCTCCAAGTAATTTTACTTTGGCAACACTAGACGAGTAGTTCTGTTGTTTTGTTAAAATTATTTCTCGCGAGTTGTATAACCTATACTATACACACAATCGCCAGCTGTCAAAAAGTACACTCAAGTACAGCAGCTATCTCTCAGAAAACAGGTCAACTTTGTAATTAATTGACCCAAAGAAAGTAAGGCATATGGCTCTAACTTCGTAGATGAGCTTGCAAAACTAATATTTCAGTAATAGCAAGTAGTATAATGAAATTTCATAGCTCTTGTGTTTGTCTTATCACATTCGTTCGAATTTGTTTGGTCATTAGTTTGAAATAAATTCAATACGCTATGTAAGCTGGCTGAAATCAGTCATGATGTCAAGAAGAACACTTTCTTCTTCATTCAAAACTGAGATTGGCCATCTGGAATAGACTTCTTGTATCTTGTGCCTGCTGCTTCTCCCTTTGTTACATATTATGCCCTCTGACCGCCCTAGCTTATCCTCTATAGCTGTCCTTCTCATCTGTTTACTTCTCTGTGACTCTCTATTTTCTTTTCTTTTTTCTGAAAACTATTTCATCTTCTTACCCTCTTACAGATCCCCCTCTCACTTTCACATGCTCCCTATTCCTTCTTTCTCCACATTCATTCTTCTTATGTTTTCAGCATTTATTCTCATTCTCAGCAACCCAAGCCAAGCCATACTGATCCCATCTTCAATACTGACCAGCGAGACTTTTTGTTTTCTTTTTCTCCTTCCAAGTTTTTTCTTTCTTCCTTTCTCAATTTGACGGCTCCTAACTTTTTCATTTTCCATTTGCCCAGTAAATGTACAAAACATGTACACAAACATGTTATGGAACACTGTATGTTCTTGATTTACACAATCTCTATTTCTCTGCTTTTTTCTCCGTATTCTCTGCATGAAATTTTTATTCTTTCACTTCAGATCGTTTTGCTGGAACAAGTTGAGAGCTTCACGACGTTCGAAGACTTATGCTCGTCAGTCTTGTTAGGCAAAAAAACGATTTCTGCTCGATTCCATAAAATCACTACCATATAAGAGAAAAGTTCACCAATTTTTTCGGCAACTAAAACTGTTCAGTTTGCTTATATAGTCATATAAGTATAGTTCAGCTCTCTAACTATTTCTTATCCACAAACGACCAGACATCACTCCCATCTTCACACAATACACATTTCACATTATTCTAAGTACTCCCTATAGGCTTTTGACACAGTTAAAGAGATCAGATGGCAAACAAGAGAAAAATTTTCTAATATTTGTTGTTATGAAAATGGATTCCTCAAGCCTTACTCGTTCTCGACAACACGTAGGGCAGGGGAATCTCGTAAGACACATAACCGATCAGTGGCAATACGCCAAACCTACTGTTTCACATCATTATCGTTTTCGTCTTACCGTCAAAGTTCCAATACAGATCTCATCTCATTCATTACCTTCCAAATGTATCTCAAACCTCAATTGCAACTCTTCTGCGTATCATTAGTGAGAATGAGGTCTAAAGACACACAGTAATCAAACTTCCTGGACTCATGACTAGCAATACACATTTAGCAATCTCTATTTCGATTACCAATCAAATTTGTCTATAAGAAGTATAAAGTTGTGCTTCGACTAGTTCATGACTTCTTCCATCATCTCATATTCTATGAGATACGAGATTACCTGCATACTCGATCTCATGTATACGCTTGGAATCTATATTTTCATTCACTTTTCTTCCTCCTAGTATTAACAGCTCTGATACATCTTCTTATGAACATTGAAAGATATGTGTGTGAAACTGATTTCAAAGAATATAACCCATACTACGAGAGTTACCTGCATAGTCACTGTTTATTCGCATGAGCTTCCTTGTTTTCCTAAAAAATCTTTCTTCTACATAACTTAACACGATTTATGACAATCGAATAGTTTCCTCTGATTTCAGAAGATTTGTTTTTTCATTCAATTCGATCATAAAGCTCTTATATAGTGTTCATTATAGTTATCCTTTCTTGAATCTCTACAATCAATAACGAATATAACTGAAATCTCGTATATGTCGTAAAGAAGATAGAACTTCATGTGCAATCTTTTTTCCGAAAAACAAAAAATATTAATAGATGGAGTTACACTATTCTCGATCATATACTCTCTTCCTAGTGACAGTTATCTTTCATCTATTCTGACTCAAGTATATCTATGATAATTCCATTTTCTAGGCAAACCTTGACTCGAATGGAAAGCCAAATCGAAGAGAAAAAGAAAGAGTTAAAGACGAAATCGGGTGTGGATGTAATCAGCGGGAAAGAGGTTTGCTACCATTCTCATTAAGTATTATATCTCTTGAAGAGTTAGTTATTCACGAATAAGGTTCGTGAGTGGTTTTCGCCTTAGGGGTGTATAATAACGCAATCAGCTGGCTTGAGAAAAATCAAATTAACATATCCTTATATTCAGTTTTTCTCTTCAGTTCCGGAACTACGTCAACTTGTTACGAGCCAGAACTCAAGAATACAAGAAGAAGCGTCAAGAACTAGATGAGATAATTACCGAAAAGGGAACTCTCATCCGTACAATGGAAATGCTTTCACGAAAGTATAACACTCTAGTTGATAAAATTGTTAGTTCAGTTATTTATATGAAAAACCATAACTCATCTCCACATTCTATAGAAAGCAATGGGTGGCGAAGTAGTGGCTTTTGGTGAACAGACAAATATGACTAAAGAACGGCCTCGCACAGCAGCTCCAGTGTAAGTCGATTCCTATCCAAGGACTTACCTGTAATGAACTTCTACGACTTATAAGAAGAAAGTTGTTTACTTCCTATCCATCTATTTCAGCATTGACGATGTTGATGAGCTGAGGAGATTACTAAGCGAAATGGTAGAAAACATCGAAAAGAAAAGGGATAAAATTGACCCTCTGAAAAAAGAAAAAGAGAAACAACAGGAAAGATATACTGTGAGTTTTCAGTTTAGATCAGAGATAATCATTGATGGTGTCTTCAGTTGTTGAATGATTATGTATCTAGAAATAAAACAGAGAAAGTGGAGAGGAATGAACAGAAAGCTTCAGCCATTGGAAATTTAAATACGGTAGGTTAAACTTCTTCATCATTTTATCGCTAGAGTCTGTTCCTTGTTTGTAATACAATAACTAAGGATACATATTTCAGGATATAGAGAACTTGGAACAACGTTTGGAAGAAGTTTTAAAAGAGATTAAAGGACTAGACTCAAAAATAGAGCAGTACACTGAAGATCTGAATGTCTTACGGTCTGATGGTGATGAACTGAAAAAGCGCGTTCAAGAAGAATACCGTAAAGCCCAAGAAGTATCATCTGATTTGGCTCGGCGGCAAGGAATTACTGCCAAGTATTCAGAATTTGCCCATCAACAGGTACTCTTCAATAGGTTTCTTTCATAACAAGTAAGATATGTTAGGTTATAATGTGGCGAGGTTTACATATGGTGTTCGAAGCTAAAATGCAAGCAGTCAAAAAAGCTCAAGGATGATGAGAGTAGTTTGAGGGAGAAAGAACAATTTCTATGTCTGACGCCCGGGTCAAGAAGCATTCCTACGTCAAAGTGATAATAAATAATTAAGTATACATATATCTTTTTACACTCAAACTAAGTGAAATAATTAATAAATATTGATCTCTTCGCTTCATTCAATGTGACTTAGTAAATTGAAGGTCATTATGCTAAATCAGTTTAAACGGTCATTGATACAGTTTTAACATTGGAACTTGGGCTAGATCAGTTCATTCATTCACTCTAAGAATGGCAATGCGCTCTTCACTCGTTCTAGTGTACCTCTTCTATTATTCTTTTGCATATTCTATTGAATATGCTTCGAAGCTTGAAAACCTACAAGATATCGGCTATGAGAACGATAACAACAGGTAACTCTTTAGGTTTCTGCTTGATACTCCGTACTGTTCAGTCAATTCCATTCTCCTGCCAAAGTGCGTGCCTTACAGGATTCGGGGGCTAAACAAAAAACTAACCAGCGTGTGGAACAAGAACAGAGCATGAAACTTGTTGGAGCTGATATTCATACTGAAGTAAGTTCATAACGTTAGAAAAAAGATGAGAAATATATTCAGATTGAAATGCCAGTACACATCAAAATCCTTACCATCACAGAAGATGAAGCTAACGCAATTATTGCTAATAAAAATATTTAACCTTTAGAAGCAAACTTTATGTTCAACATTGAATTCAAGATACAAATAAATTTATTAGAAACCAATATTATTATTGATTGTTGACGAAATTATATGAAGAATATTACTCATTGTCTTTTCCTATAAATTCAGCTCAAGCAAGCATAACCCTCTTATTGAAACGATGGAAACGTCTGTAAGGTGCTGGAGCTGGTTCTGGTTGCTTATCATCTCCATATTTGTTCTGATCACCACCATTAGCATCAACATGAACATATTGTTGAACTTTCTCGGCACTTTGATATGCCTCATTCACTGGAATAGCTCCCGAGTCTTTATAGGTTGGTGGAGGAGTTGGCTCAATGAATGAGAGCTTCATTGGAGCTTCAGGCTGAGCAATCTTAATAATCATAATAATGATTTCAACTTGCTCTATTCACAACTTACGAGAACTGGTTTAGGAGCTGCGATGTCAGGAGTTGAAACTCCGGGAACAACAAAGTGTTGTTGTGGAATCTGGACAGGTGGGAGTCCTCCAAATCCCTTAAAACCTATAGTAATAAAATCCCATGAAATGTTTGAACTTACCCCAGCTTGAGGATCATTGTATGGCTTGTATGGCTTCTCGAAGACTGGCTGAATTGCTCCAATGGGTTGTTGTACCTAGAAATGGTTAGCTCAAAAAACCTTATAGTGGTAGAAATCATACATGGACTGGTTGAATTTGTGGAATTTCAACGGTTTGAACTCCTGGCACAACAATCTTGCTAGTATCAATGTTTACCCCTTGAACGGGTTCTGGAGCTGGCACGAACTTTGGATCATGAGCTACATCTCCCTGGTAGGCTAGTGGATCTCCCCCAGTAGCTTGCATAGGGGGCTCTACTGGTGCATACTTCTAAAAACGCTGAGTGAAAAAAAAGAGATAATAAAAGACGAAACCTCAGCAGTTTCATATCCACTGCTCTGGGAGTCGTAGCTGCCGGCTGATGCGAGACAAACCGCAGACAAGAGGATCCAATACTGCATAATTACCACGAAAGTTCCCAAACGAGAGGCGCAGTGAATTTTTTCACTGGAGAGATTTCTTATATATGGACCTGAATCTAGAACTGCAGATAAGATAACATTCTAATGTTCAATCACCTCTCATGAAATTTCAGTTTTAATTTAGTTTTATACGTTGGAAATCTAGAACTTTTCATTTCAACTCAACCAATCGAAAAATAAACTGAAAAAACAAGTAGTAAAATGAATAATATGACTTATGAAAACAACAAAAAACAGTCGAAGACGGGACAAATTTCGAATCTATTGAACCATTATCTCAGTATTAACAGTTTTCTTACTAATAACCGATGGTATAAAACCTAATTAGATTTGCATACCAGTCAACACACATATCGAAAAATTGATAAAATACAAACAGACACTTGATCACATACTTCATTGGGAAAAACGAAAATTCGTAAACAGAAACGATGAGACACAAAAAGCATGATAAGAGCCGAAACCAAAAAGACAGATCAACTTCGATCTTAGAGCACTGTGCGAACCATATGCCAATCACGTGATATCTTTGTTTTCGAACTGTTAGACAGTCATTTTGCAAGCTTCCCACGTAGATATGACAATATGCCCACTGGTAGAACTTACTATCAACTGGGTATTGAATCATTTCGAAATCCTACATTGAATTGTGGAATCATCACAGAATCGTATTGTCTGTATCACCTCACAGATGTTTAATTATCCTTTTAGTTGGTCGATATACTGGTGCATCACATGAAAAATCCGGCGATTCGGTTCGATTGGGCATATTTGGCGAAGATGGCGTAATCCTTGGGATTTCTATTTACACGAACAAGCCAATTACACAGATTGCTGAGTATCCACTGTGCAACTGAAACTTGGACCGATGCCAATTCAGCTTTGTCCACGGGGCGTGACTACATGCATACTGCAAACGTTCATGCGCGGGATATGAATTAGTTGAGTGTATCAGTTGATTTCGACTTCTGTTTTTTCGGGTTA